CAGTAGACGAAGGGAGACTAAGAACCTGGTGAAGCACAGAGTCAGGCGGTGGCTGAGACGACGGAGACGGTGGAGCGAAGAACAGGCGCGGCTGTGCAGTGACACCAGCACCAGCAGCTCCAGTACCCCCAGCAGCTCCAGCACCTCCAGCAGCTACAGAACCTCCAGCGCCAGCACCCTCAGCAGCTCCAGAACCTCCAGCTCCAGCGCCACCAGCGCCAGTACCTCCAGCAGCTCCAGAACCTCCAGCGCTAGCACCCTCAGCAGCTCCAGAACCTCCAGCTCCAGCGCCACCAGCGCCAGTACCTCCAGCAGCTCCAGTACCTCCAGCACCAGCACCCTCAGCAGCTCCAGAACCTCCAGCTCCGGCGCCACCAGCGCCAGCACCTCCAGCAGCTCCAGAAACCTCAGCGCCAGCTCCTCCAGGACCAGCTCCACCAACAGCAGCACCCCCAGAACCGGCACCTCCAGTCCCAGGGTCTCCAGCCTCAGTGCCTCCAGCAGCAGCACCCTTAGGCTCAGCACCTCCAGCCCCAGCAGCTCCAGTACCTCCAGTATGAGCACCTCCGGGACCAGCACCACTCCCAGCTCCAGTGACATCAGCAGAAGTACCTCCAGAGGCAGAGCCCCGAGCTCCAGAAGCGCGACCCTGACGGCGACCGTACCAGTCGTGCAGCTGCTGCGAGGTGAGAGGCACACGCGGACGAAGGCGGCTACTCCAAGGAAACCGCGCAACAGCAGACTCAGAACCCTCAGCGCCAGTACCCGCAGCAGCTCCAGAACCTCCAGCGCCAGCACCCTCAGCAGCTCCAGAACCTCCAGCTCCAGCGCCACCAGCGCCAGTACCTCCAGCAGCTCCAGAACCTCCAGCGCCAGCACCCTCAGCAGCTCCAGAACCTCCAGCTCCAGCGCCCTCAGCAGCTCCAGAACCTCCAGCAGAAACAACTCCAGTGGCAGAGTCACCAGCTCCAGCGCCTCCCGCAGCAGGGCCCCTAGCTCCAGCAGCGCGACCCTGACGGCCAGCGTACCACTCAAGCAGCTGCTGTGGGGAGAGAGGGAGGCGACCACGAGAGTGCAGCGGCGAGGCACCAGCGGAGCGACTACGGAGACGGTCGCTCCAGGGAGACTGCTCACCAGACGCCTCAGCGCCCCCAGGCTCAGCACCCCCAGACTCCTCACACCCAGGCTCAGCACCTCCAGTCTCCGCACCCCCAGGCACCGCACCTCCAGGCTCCGCACCCCCAGGCTCAGCACCCCCAGGCTCAGCACCCCCAGGCTCCGCACCCCCAGGCTCAGCACCCCCAGAAGCAGCACCCCGAGCAGGACCACCCTCAGCAGGACCTGAGTCACCAGTGACCTCAACCGGCTCAGTCAAGGGAGGAGGGTCTACCTGAGACACACCTGAAGGAGCAGGACCGGGAGCGGGGAGGGGGTCTACCTGGGGAGAACCTGGAGCGAGGAAGAGCGGCGGGGGGGGGAGAGGGGCAGTGCGGTAGGGGAAGAGACGGTAAAAGGGAACCGACTCGTCGAACGTGACGTCCTGAGAGGGGAAGACACGGCGCGAGGTGGGGTGGTAAAACTGCCAACCAGGCGCGTCAGGAACAAAGCCAAGGAAGACACAGGGAACAGCGCGAGCGGAGAGCAGTCCGCGGTGGTATCGCGGACAAAGGCACGAGCACCCCAGACCCGGAAACGCGACGCATCGCCAACCTTCCCCGTCCACAGCAGTGTGGGCGAGGTCTCCGGCAAGGAGACACGGGGCCAGAGGTTGAGCTGATGCGCGGCGTACCGGACCGCAAACGGCCACAGAAAATGGGGGGCAGCCGCATGGATCATGGAGGTACGAGCGACCTCCAAGACTAAGCCAATGCGGCGCTCAGCAACCCCATTCTGCTGCGGAGAGGCCGGAAGCGTGAACGTCTGGCGGATGCCGTGCTCCGCACAGTAGGCTGCCAAGAGGTCTGAGGATAACTCACCACCTCTGTCAGAGTGCAGACGCAGGACAGGAAAGTCCGACTGGAACCGCTCGCGGAGCTGGAGACGAACAGCGCGGATCCAGGGGATCAAAACATCAGGGACCTCCCCCTTGCTGCGCAAGGGGAAGACCGTGGTGTAACGCGTGTAGTCGTCGACGACCAGCAGGAAGTACCGCTCGTGGCCCTATCCACGGACGCGGGCTGGGCCCCACACGTCCAGGTGGAGAGTCTGCAGGGGAGCCTCTATGGGAGGGAACGAGGAGGAGTGAGGAGCGGCGCGCTGCTGCCCCTCGACACAGGGAAGACAGGGAGGAGCAGGCGAGGGTGGTAGAGGAGGCAGAGTCTCTGGAAGTCCAGAGACAAGGAAACGGCGGTGCATGCTACGAAGGCGCTGCACCGAAGGGTGACCAAGGCGGTGGTGCCAAAGGAGGGTCTGGTGCGACAAAGCGCGACACGAGCAGGGGGCCGCTAGCTGACCTGACGCAAACGCAGACGCAGACGCAGCTACCTGAGGGGACACAGTGGTCAGTGTGTACAGACTCGAGCCAGGCTCTCGGGTGAACGTGGCCAGGTGCCGACCAGTCCGAGAGCACGTACAGTGGGTCACACGCTGACCTCCAGGGGTGAACTGGTCAACCCACACATCCTGTAGGTCAGCTCCACTCACCAAGTTCGTAGAGAACGAGGGGAGGTGAAGACCTAACAGGGAGCCAGACGGGACCGCCCGACACGGCAGGACCGTGGAGGAGTGCGCAAGGACTGGACCCCCAGAGGGGTCTGCCAGGGAGACTGCAACCGGCCGACGAAGCGGCGTGAGGGTGGTGCTGTCGCGAAAGAAGGAGCGGGAAGCACCTGAGTCAAGTGTGAAGGTGTACAAGGCCTCAGCAGGCGCAGTACCAGAGAGAGCAGACTCACCAGCACCTGGAGCAGCAGCCTCACCAGAAACTAGCGCAGGAGACGCACTAGCACCTAGAGCAGCAGCCTCACCAGCACCTAGCGTAGCAGGCTCTATACCTGGGTCAGGCGGTACGCACAGGGAACAGGCACGGTCAGCACTAGTAGGCAATGCATACATGGCAGTGAGAATAGCATCATAGTCAAGAGCAAAGATATCTACCCTCTGCCCAAGCAGCTCCAGCCAGGTGGGGAGCTCAGCCTCGTCGCCAAACTCGGTACGCCAGGCGTCGCTCAGACGGGCGAAGTAGCGGGACTGGGTGTGACCAAGTGTCCCGCAAGCCTGACCAGCCCGATCACCTGTGCGAAGGACGTACGGGCAGCGAACGGTACTCCGAGACCCTCGACTCTGAGCGTACCACGCGTGAAGCTGCCGGGACGTAAGTGTCTCGCGCGGACGCCGCTGCAGCTGCAGCTGGCCACTGCCAGACGCTCTCGACCGACCAGCCCCAGGGCGACAGCCACGACGGCTACCGCCACAACCCCAACTAGCGTACCACTCACGAAGCTGCTGAGGCGTGAGAGACTCGCGCGGACGTCGCTGGAGCTGCATCTGGCCACCGCCAGTAGCAGCAGTAGCAGTAGTAGCAGCAGCAGCAGCAGCAGTAGCAGTCTAGCAGTAGTAGTAGCGCGGGCAGGGCAGGCAGGCAAGCAGGCGTGGCAGGCAGGCAGGCAGGCAGGCAGGCAGGCAGGTAGGTGCTCACTAGTGGCGAGAACGGCAGGCGCACGACGGCGGCGACGGCTGGGCCGCGACAGCTGCGGCAGAGCAGGACCGCGTCGGAGGTAGGGCAGGTCCGCTACAGCTGCTGCAGGGCGGGGACGTGACGGCGGCAGAAGGCTCCGCGGCAGCTGCTGCAGGGCAGGGCCTCGACGGCGGCAGGAGGCTCCGCAGCAGCTGCTGTAGGGCGGGGCCGCTACTGTGGCAGGGCGCTCCGCGGCAGCTGCTGCAGGAGTGACGGCGGCGTCCAGGGGCAGCCGCGGCGCGCGAGGCTGCAGCGCGCTACGCGAGCCGCGGGCGCGGCGCGCGAAGCCGCTGCGGGCTGCGCGAGGACAGCAGCCGCGGCGCGCGGGGCTGCAGCGCGACGCGCGGGCAGCGAACGCGACGCGCGGGGCTGCAGCGCGACGCGCGGGCAGCGGACGCGACGCGCGGGGCTGCAGCGCGACGCGCGGGCTGTGGGCGCGACGCGCGAGGCAGCGACCTAGCGGGGTGGCGCCCTGGCCTGACGGGCCTGCAGGGGCGGCTCGTAGGCGTGACGTGTCTGCAGGTGCGGCGCGTGGGCCTTACGGGCCTGCAGGGGCGGCGTTCTGGCCTAAGGCAGCAGTAGGCAGCACGAGGGCTGCAGGACGGCGCGCGCAGCGCAGCACGTCACAAGGCAAGGCAGGCAGGCAGGCCAACACGTGGGGTAACGCGGTAACCGCAACGGTAGGTGGGCCCGAAAAAAAACGGTCCTACAGACCTAGTGCTCTGAAACCATGTCAGAATCTAGCAGCAGGAATGATTGAACTATGAAAGAGTTGGGTACAGGGCTGTACCCCATATTGGCTACCCCACTACAGCCTACACATATATAGCAAGCATATACTTTGACATCCCGCCATCGGCACCCACAGTGAAAACGTTACCCGCTCACCTCGACCACGACTCCCGCCACTGTTCGCGATGCGACCCAACCTAACGGTTCGGTTGGTAACCCGCGCTCCGAACCTCCGCCTCGACAATTCCCAAACCTCAGCGCTAGGCTCGTAGCGCACCCCAATTTCCCGCATTACCGTTACCACGCTAGCTTCGCTATATAACTTCGCTCATGCTTTTCGCTCAATTGTATTGTTTGCTTCGATAGTGCAATTCTCGCTCGCTCACTCAATTGCACTCGTAACACAGGCTAATGCTTCAAACAATTGAAATTAAGAAACTTGGCCCGTTCTCCAAGTACATGGAGTGTAGGCAAGTGAAAGAAACCCCCAGAAACAAACCACTTTTATTACAAACCACTTTTATTACAAACCACTTTTATTACAAACCACTTCTGGTATTACAAATAGACGACTTCCTTCCAAATGTGGTCAAAACTAAGTGTACCTGCACGCAGCTTTCCTAGCCCTGGCACATTGGCCTACAGCATCCCGTCTCGCCATGCCCTGCTGCTTGTATTGGTTATACACCTCGGGCTTGATACACTCCCTCCACACGCTGCATCCTGCAGGCTTGTGCTGCAAGCAGTTGGCAAATGAGTAACTTGGCCCGTTTCCCAAGTTCAGGTCGTAGAGGCGGGTTGTGAAGCCATGTGCATTGTTGTCAGCACACATACCCTGTGTGAGGTACTGAGTAAGAAACAGCAGGGGGTAAGAGATGGAGTGGTAAATTGTAACAGTGAGTGATTGAACATACTTGATAGCTGTGCGAGCAATCATGGGATTTGCAGATAGTTGATGCAGCAAGGCAAAATGGATGATGAGTTTAAGCAGGAAATAAATGAAAGGGAGGAGTAAACACCATTATCCACCATAAGTTTTCAGATACTCTGAAGAAGATATGTCCAGCCTGTGATGACTATGATCCACTCCGGGCTCCAGGTGAAGGTTCCTAGAGCTACGCATATTTTGCAAAACAACACCAGCTCATTGCGAACAACAAACTCATTAGTGTAGCCAAAGCCTCACATTCCTCCCTGCTACTACGACTTTCCACCACAAGTTTTGAGACGACTCAAAACCTGATCCTCGAGGATCTGAACCCACCTGTGTTGGTCGTAGATTCTAACAAAGCCCAGCTCACCGCACACTCAGACTTTTATTGAATAATTAACTCGTTAATTAGCATAAATTCAGCCGCCTTTACCATTCTTTACCACTCTCCACCACGCCAATCCGTATACTGTAACCCTCTTCCACTTCTTTCAGAGAAACTCCAACTCACCTGTGGGAATCGAATGCCATTCTTCACTCCTGCTGAATTGCCCCAGCTCTCCACATACTCGGCCACAAACACCGCCTTGTTGCGAAGAATAAACTCGTTGGCATAGTCGCACCCATACTTGCCACTGTACCACTCTCCACCGCTCCAATCCGTGTACTGGTTGCACTCTTCAACAAGAGCCCAGTCAAACAGGCCCGCCATGTGGGAGGGAGCGAGGGCTCCGGGGTTCTTGAGACCCACTGACATGCCGTACCTGATGAGGAGAGGGGGAGAAAGGGGAGTAGAAAATATGGTTTGTTAAATTGGAGCGCTGGGGTTTTTGAAACCCAATGACATACCATACTTAGGCAGGGAGAACAGCGTGGCAAGTTGGAACGGGGTTTTGAAGGGGAAAAAAGGGGGAGGGGAAGGGGGAAAAGTTGAGGGGGGGGGTTGGTTTGTGGCCCACTTGACATGCTGCATCGGATAAGCAAAGTGGGATTGGAAGGGAGGTGCTTAAGAAAAAGGAGGGGAGAGGGATGAAGCAAATGAGCGACTCTCAGAACTAGTTACGAAAGGAGGCACGTGGGAGTTAGCGAAAGGGTTAGAATCCATGAGTCCAACTTATGTTGTGCTGAATGAAAAAGAAAGGCGGTTCAGGGTTTAAGGTTGAAGGTTGAAAAGTTTCATGATGATGACAGGATTTAGAAGCAGGTGAGCTCACTTGTGCACTGTGTTCGCAATCCACGAGTTGAAGTTAAACTGGTCATTTTTCGTGATGGTGAAATGGCTGATGGGTTTAACCATGATGTTTCCAGTGTATGCATCCACACAGTCCGGCTCGATGCCGTCGCACCCCTTGCGCTTCGCCAGCTGTTGAAGGGATGGGACAAGCGACCACAGGAGTTGAAAGGGGCAAGTCAGGACTGAGACCACTAGAGGCTGAGCTGACCCAACAAAAACAAAAAGACTGTTAAGAGAAACTGAATTAAGGAGAGTTTAACACAATGAGAGAGGCACAACACGTACGATCTCTCACATTGTCTCACCTCGAGCTATGCGTGTGTGACGCACAATCCGCACGGAAAAACGGGGGGAGGAAGGGGGGGGGGGAGGGGGGGCGGGTGTGTTTAAAACCGAACTCAGGGAGAGGGTTTAAAACACTCAGTGAGAAACAACACGTACGGAATCTCACTCTCTCACCTCGCGCTATGCGTGTGTTGATGCACAATCCGCACAAAAAATCTGTTACGTAACCCTCCTTACCTGAATCCGCTTTTCCAGTATTTGACGCACAGCAGTGCTCTTCACATCCAGCCATCGCTCGCCCTGCCATACTTGCGAACAGTCCTCGTTCTGCCAAAAAACAAAAAACAAACAAAAAAGGCGTTTCAAGGGCTGGTGCTAGAAACCGAAGCATGTTATGTCAGCCCGTGAATGAATGGTCAGTTATGACAGGAATTCTCACGGTTTTTTTTAGCATGTGTAAGCTACTTGCATTTCATCTCACCATGCACGCAATTCCACCGAGAGTGGATCTCGGAAATTGCTTGTAATCGCTGCGATAATCCTCGGCAGTCCCGAAGCTGAAGTAGCAGAACACCTTCTTTCCCATCGTTTTCAACCTCGATATAGTGCTCGCCGACACGCTGAACCCGTCAACATCGTATATTTTCTCCTTATGCGACGACGTGTCGAGGTTCGAATCGGAGAGTTGCCAGTAGAAGGATGTTCCCGGCGTGGGAATGTACCATCCGTTGCTCGTGACGTAAACAGCGAGGCAAACGGCGATGAATGTCAGAGAGACAACAACGCGAAATATTTTTGCAATTAAAGACATGGCGGTAGAGTTCCGGGTGTTTGAGAGGTGCCCAGGTGGTGCGTCGCGCGAAGTGAGTCGTGCAGGTAATGTGTAAGGAGGCGGAAAGAGTTAGTAGTTTGTCTTTGCCACGGCCAATGCATGGTTTATAAGCGTTCAAATCATCCGTCGCTTCGGCGCTTCGGCATGTGTGCCAGCCGAACCGCAGCGGGAAACAGCGATACTGTGAGAGCCACTCGTTGCGCTAAAGGAACCTTCATGGCTAGCATAAACCAACAATCCTTTTCTCCAATCCTCAGGCCACGTGGCGAGGCGCGTTGTTCGTCTGATAGTGACGCTCCAGTGAACATGTCCTGTCTTCGCGTTGAAAGAAATATCCTGAATGGGAAGAAAATTATTGATGGTGCGTGGTTAGTGGAGGAAGCTGCAAGGCGCAGGCAGGAACGACGTTGCTGCTGATCTTGCTGCCTGGCTGCGACGTCGCTCCTGCTGCACGTTGCTCTCGCTTTCGGGTTGCAGCTGTGATATGGGGGGGTTGAAATGCGGAGACTCCAAGGGCAAATAACCGTTACGGTCTGACAATAGAAATTAATAAGTGGTTGGAATACACTATTTCGCCTATAATAATCGGTCAACAAACACTCCTATAGCGGATCTATGTGATTCCCCACTCGATCTCGTTCAGGTTGTTTTCATCGATGAGAAATTTGTGAGATTTTTGCTCGGCTTAGTGAGTCCGCGCTTCCATTTATGACCGACACGTGTCATGATTGTGACAGCGCGCTGCGCGTTTTGATTTATTGTTACTACAAGGTCCAAGTGTTTAGATACTTTTAGAAGTTTAGGGTTGGTGACGAAAATTTGTTGCTGGAGCGAGCAAGACAAACCTTATCCATTTATGCATGTGCTAGTTGTCGCGTCTCCAACAGTGCCGGTTGTAACCCTGACCGTTATAGCGACTGAATCGCATCACATGTATGTGCTGGATGTGCTTAACTTCGCCCTCCATTCGAGGCTCTCGACACAGGAGGATCATGGCCTTGTTGTCAGCGAACAATGTCGCTGCAGAGCGAGGCCGCCCACCAAGGTCGGTGGGCAAGAAAGTCAACCAGCGAAGCTCCTGCGCAGCCATGGCGCCAGCATAGATCTCAGCCTCAGGGATAGACTGCGCCACAGACGACGACCAAGTAGACTTCCATGACACAGCACCAGAGCCCAAGCTGAAGCAGTATCCCTAAGCAGACCTACAGGTCTCCATGTCGTCGGCATAGTTAGAGTCGCAGTGAACGGTCAGAACAACTGGCTGTATTCTGTCAAGACTAAGGCAAGGGAATGATTTAACTATCGAGAGAGTTTGGTACAAAAGTAAACCTAAGGGGTTGTACCCCACAGTGAGTACCCCACTAAGCCTACCCAAACTATAACATATAAACATATGTTTGACACACCCCCATAGGCAAAGTGGGGGAGAACAGAGAGTCACAAGACCAGTCAGGAAGTGTAAAGCAAGCTCAGGGTGGATCACAACGTCACCACGCAGTCTGAGCACAAGCAAAAGGCCACAAGGCCAGTTCACATGCAGAGATATATACGTAACAACAACAGCACAGTGATCTCTACCTACCAGAGCAAGCATGCAGGTATATATATAGATCACAGTACAAACAAAGCCTACAGCAAGTGAGGAAACGTGGGCACAAGGCCTAACAAAGTACAGAAACGCTGATGATCACCAGGCGGAAGTGCCTTGGTGAATATATCAGCAGTGTTGGCCCGAGTGGCCACGTAAGCAAGACGAAGCTGACCACGCTGCTGTAGCTCTCGAGCAAGGAAGTAACGCAGAGTGATGTGCTTCGTTCTGTGCTCCAGTCTGTGCTCCTGACACAAGGCAATGGTGGCCTTGTTGTCGACGTACAGCACTGGAGGAGAATGAGGCCTCTCTCCCAAGTCGGTCAGCAGGTAGGTGAGCCAGCGTAACTCCTGTGCAGCCATGGCTGTGGCGTAGATCTCAGCCTCACAACTGGAGCTGAGAACTGAAGACGAGCGTGTAGAACGCCAAGAAACCGAACCAGAGCCAAGGCTGAAGGTGTAACCCTGTGACGACCGCTGCGTAGCCTGGTCGTCAACCCAAGAAGCGTCCGAGTGCCCAGTGAGGACAACGTCGCTCCGTCCTCCAAGCACGAGCCCCATGCCCGATGTACTGCACAAGTAGCGCAGTACCCTCTTAACAGCATCCATGTGCACCTTTCGGTGCCGACCAGGAGCCACGTAGCGAGCCAGAAGGCCAAGAGGGTACGCAAGGTCAGGACGAGTGCAGGTCATTAGGTACATGAGGCAGCCCACTAGCTCTGGGTAAGGACCACTCGGCTCTACGGACTCGTCCGAAGGTGGAGCTGAGAGCGAGTGACCTGTAGCCAGAGGAGTGGCCTGTGCCGAGAACCAGGTGAAGCCGAAGCGCTGAAGAACCTGCTGCACCATGTGTGACTGAGTCAGTGTGATGGTGCGGCGTGCTCTGTCCCGGGTGATCTGCAAGCCAAGGTAGCTGCGCAGCTCACCCAGGTCTGTGCACGTGTGTCTCTTCTGCAGCTCCGACTTCACCAGGGCGAGAGCCTCAGTGTCAGCAGTGGCAAAGACCAAGTCGTCGACGTACACGAGGATGTAGAACGGCGGCAGCGAAGTGTCGGTGCGCAGAAACAGCGGGTCAGCAGTCGACGGAGCAAACCCAAGAGCCGCAAGTGTCGTCCTCAGTGTGTCGTGCCACTCACGTGGCGCCTGACGGAGACCGTAGACCGGCCGCCGGAGGCTCCACTGGGTACCAGGAGGGAACGACCCAGTGAAGCCAGGCGGACGGCGCAGCCCGATCTCCTCGTGCAGGCTGCCCTGTAAGAAAGCTGTGCTGAAGTCAAGAGAGTGAAGCTCGTAGTCACGCTGAGCGGCAACGTGCAGCAGCACCCGAAGAGTGGTCATCTTCGGGGTGGGGGAGAAGGTCTGGAAGAAGTCTACTCCCTCTCTCTGACTGAAACCTCGAGCAACGTAACGCGCCTTGAAGACAGGCGGAGAACCTGGCGGCCGCTTCACCCTGAAAATCCACATGTCATCGACGATGTTCGCCCCAGGAGGGGGAACCTCGTCGACGTAGGTGCCTGTGGACTTCCAGGATGCCATCTCTGCATCCATGGCTGTCTGCCACTGAGAGGAGTACTCACCCGCGATCGCCTCAGCGTAAGAGCGCGGGGTCGGGATGTCTGGTGCATCCGGGTCTCCCTCAGGGGCAAGCAGCATGGACACGAGATGAGGCGCAGCGGCTGCAAAACACTCAAGGTCCTCGTGCCTGTCCTCAAGGACGTCCGTGCCAAGAGCACACTCACCCCCGGCGGACGGAGGACAGACAGACTCAGACTCAGCAACAAGACTAGCAGCGTAGTCTAGACGACAGGCAGCAGCAAAGTCAACAAGCTCAGCGACTAAGGCAGACGCAGCAGCAGAATCAAACGACGGGTCAGTGACAACAGTGGCTAGCAGACGCGTGACAGTAGGGTGCTCAGCACGAAACCGGTCAGACTCAGGGTCCGGAACAATAGGCAGAGAAGACTCAGGAGGAGACGGCAGAGGAACACGCTGCGGAGGAGAGGAAGGACGACGGACTACAAGGGAAGGGCGGGGGACAGCCGGCGGACGCTGACGAGGAACACGACGACTGGAACGACCAGAACGGACAGGTGAGACAGGACGCGACGCAGGCTCACGACGCTCAGCAAAGCCCCCTGTCTGCTCAGCGTAAGGAGAAGGAGCAGGCAGAGGTGAGCCAGGCTGTAACGGAAGACCAGTAGACGACGGGAGGCTAAGAACCTGGCGAAGTACGGAGTCAGGCGGTGGCAGAGACGACGGAGACGGTGGAGCAAAGAACAGGCGTGGCTGTGCAGTGCCACCAGCACCAGCAGCTCCAGCACCCTCAGCAGCTCCACCACCCTCAGCAGCTCCAGCACCTCCAGCAGCTCCAGCACCCTCAGCAGCTCCAGTACCTCCAGCAGCTCCAGTACCCTCAGCAGCTCCA